GAAAAGTTATGGCCTTAGTTTTGTATGCATTGAGTATGCAACCCACAACTCGATCACTGGGTCAAATAATTCTTGACCAAACTAACGGTTTTTGATCGTTTGACGGGACTTAACTAAACTAGACCCGAAATCCTAACCAGATGATAGTTTGTATGATTCGATTGACCAGATCAACAACAAATTGAAAACATTGGATAAAACTATAGGGGAGTGAGTTTGGATTTACTCCCCACAACTCCAAAAGTATACTAGCCTACTTGACATCATAACCACACATAGAAAATCCGGCTATGGTGTTTTGTGGGTAAGGGTGGGTAGAGTTATTGTGATAGAAGATCCACAGTGATGGTGCTACATAGGCGCCTCATCAGCAAATGCCTCGTTAATTGCATTTGTGTGTATCGAAGTTTGTAAAAGTAAATTTCGGTTTGTGTGCGATTCTCCCATTTCAATAAGCTTCATCTTAGAGCTTTCTGAAACGAATACACATTTATTGGCATTTTGCTGATGCAGTGCCTAATGACGCTTATGTGTCATAAACACCCTCATTAAATGTATTTCTCAATTTTACAGTCAAACAAGTACAAAACGTTTATACAAAACCAAACACCCATTAAGCTATTGAGTCCCGCAAAGAAATAATTAAGGAAAATTTAACAGAAAGGTATAATTTTAATTTCCTTTGCCAATTGAAGATAGTGAAGCTCTTTGCATTGATTTTCATTATTTATAACGTTATATCTATTAAGTCCTAAATTAGTATTGATACAGTTTTTTGTTTATTATTTTATTAACTATGAATAAAAATTATTTATGTATAGCCTTTTCTCTTTTAATTATCAATGAAATCTAATTGTTTAGAATATATGTTATCCAAAACCCAAATAGGTAAAGATTAATTAGATAAAACAAATAAAGAATATAAAAAGAAATTATATTTTTAGTACCATAAAAAATAGGTCCACGGTTTCAAAAATAAGCCCACGTTTGGTGAACACTCCTACCAGATACCCAACAAAAAATTACCATCACTAGCCATGACCCCCTATGTCGTAAAAAAAGCTCACAATCCTCATTTATAAAGCACCTGTATTTTGGCCCTTGATTCATGTTTTTTAACTTTTGACCCCTATTCCATGTAAATTTATTAGCTTTTGCCCCCTCCCAATAAAAAATCTTAACTCTCCATGTTGGTATAATTGTTGTTTCTACCTGAATTGTTCTGAGTTGATTAATACAGATTCGGGAGATAGATAATTTTTTTTTCTACTTGAAATATTTTAAATTAATCAATATAAATTACTGTTTATATCTGAAACATCAAAATTGGTGTTTCGAATATAAACCTTAATTATCTATTTATAAAAAAAAACAAAATGAAAAAAATCCACTTATCGATCCAAACCGATTAGTTCGGTTTTCAGTTAACCTAAAAAACCACCAGTTAACTAAATCAACTGGTAAATATATAAATATAATATATATATATAAATAATATATATATTAGATAAATATGCATGCATTATATATAGATATATTTTATTTATAATTATCTATTTATAATATATAATATATTATAAATATAAAAGCTGAAAAACGAAAACACCAAATCGGTCAAAAATTAAAACTGAACCAATAACCCAACAATTCATAAGTTCATAACCAAATCATGAGCACCCCTATGTGATGTGTCAACGCATCTCTCACAAGGCAAAAAGTGTTTAATGTAGAAATAGGGGTGAGCATTGTTCGGTTAAAACTGAAAAACGAGTCAAAATTTTCAGTTTGGATTTGTTTGGTTCAGTTAATTCAGTTTTATAAAATTTCGGTTTAAGTTTTCAAAATTAGAAATTTGGTTAACCAAAAAAATCGAATTAACCAAATTTTTTATATAAAATATATTATAATATGTATAATATAATATATTATATCACCAATATATATAATATGGGTATACATATATTATAATATGCATATATATATATTAATATATAATATATATTAGTATAATATTAATGAAATTCGGTTTTAACCAAAATTTTCAATTTTGATTTTTTTTTATGTTTTCAATAATTCGGTTTTGGTTCAGTTTTATACTTTACACATTCAATTTTTAAAAATTCGATTTATTCGATTCAATTTTAATCGGTTTAACCTAATGCACACCCTAATAGAAACCACCATGATACCAGAAACAACCTTAATTAAGAACAGACTGGCCCATAAAGGTTGTATTGATATTGCTGTTTCTATCCGTGAATATTTTGTGTAGATCTATACAAATTTTTATTGAAAAATGTGTTATCACTTCATATCAGAGTTACTCTAGATAGAATCATTTAGACTTCACCCTCCGGAGTAAGTTCTATAAACAGTCTCGCCAAATACATTTTTGGCCCCATTCATTTATCAGAAAATAAGAGGGGGAAAGTTGGTCAATGGGAAACTTTTTTTCATTGGTTAACTTTATAGTGTTCTTTTTGCATTAAGTACAAGGCCCTATGATAAAGAGAGTTTAATTTAACTGAGTAAAATTTACCCATCTCACAGGTGGGTAGAAGCATGGTTTTCGAATTGCCATTAACTTAGACAGTTGGACCATTCGACCCAGGAACCATCTAGGCAACCGGTTCTATTTTACCCCAAACCTAATTCATCCCTCATAAAAAATCATTGAATCAGCCAACAACTCATTAACCTAGGCAATCAAATTGTTAGGTTTTGGCCATTTTTATTTTTTATTTTTTTTGTCAGAATGGATTGTCCATTTGAACCGGATGGTTGGACCGTCAACTCAAAAACTGGTGGCCAGAATGGTTCTAATTCTGGGTTGATTTTTTAAAATATTGGGTAGAAGTAACTTTACCACATTGGGGAAATATTTATAAAATATGATGGGACAAACGTACCCTTTTAACATTAATTTTTTTAGATAAAAAGGTCATTATATCACTTACATGAAAATCAAAACAATATGAATAAGTGAACTTATGTGGGTATAGATAAATTTGCCACCTGAGAAAAAATTTATAAGACATGATAGGGCCAATTATTGCCTTTTCTATTAAAGATAGTTGGGGTGACGAGAATTCCCTATGATACATATACATCTTTTTCATATACATATACATCTTTTTCATATGCTACATATACGTCAATTTTAAAAGTTTGAGTAATTAACTATCGCTTTTTAAATTTCGAGACCAAAATAATATATATAGATATTCCAAATTTTCAAAGCCTTTACCACTCGGGCCTTGTTCCAGGTGCAGACAGATATCTTGTCGAACCACTGCTTCGACAAGATATCTGATCAACAGTTAGCCGCCTAAGTAACTGGCTACAGCAGGTTAGCCGCCTAAGTAACTAACGCCGACGATAGAGACCATTGGATGGTCGCAAACTGATCAACGGTTCCGATTGCTTCACGGTTTCCTTGGGGACGACCCTCACTTTCATTTCCCTTTTTCTATATAATAAGAATCCCAGCCCATCTTCATGGAGCAAGGAACAAAGATCAGCCATAACAGAGCTAGCTACTCACTGATCTTATTCACTCCCTCCGGCCATGGCGACCATGGATTTCCTCTCTGATTCCGTCTCTTTGACAGTCACAGCTCTGGCTGTGGTTCTTGCTATACTCGTATTCAAAGCCATATCTACCAAAACATCTTCGCAGAGGGGGACGAAGAAGCGCTATCACCCGATTGCTGGTACCATCTTCAACCAGTTACTCAACTTCCACAGGCTGCATCACTACATGACTGATCTCGCCATCAAGTATGGTACTTATCGGTTGCTCAGCCCGTTCAGAAATGAGGTTTACACTGCCGATCCAGTAAATGTCGAGTACATGCTCAAGACCAACTTCGCGAATTTCGGGAAGGTAAGGCCTTCTTCTAATATATATATATATATATATATATATATATATATATATATATATATATATATATATATATATATACCTGTTTGTTTACATCTAGATCAGTGATACAGAGGCCTGATGGTAGTAGACTCACTCTGTTCCTTTAAATGGTCGAGCAGGGGTTGCATAACTATGAAATCTTGAGTGATCTACTCGGCGATGGGATCTTCACGGTTGATGGTGAAAAGTGGCGACACCAGAGAAAGGTCTCGAGCTACGAGTTCTCGGCCAAGGTGTTGAGGGACTACAGCAGTGTGGTCTTCCGAAGGAACGCAGTCAGACTCGCCAAGATGCTGTCCGACTCTGCAGCATCGAACCAGATATTTGATATCCAAGTGAGTTATCAGATGCACGTGGAAAAAAGAACCCATCTATTCATTTTTTTCTCTTTCTCTCTTTCTGCAAGATACACAATTAATATTTATTTTCCTTTCTTTTGGGGTTCTTGGTTTTTGGCAGGATCTATTTATGAAATCAACTTTGGATTCGATATTCAAAGTCGGATTTGGTGTAGAACTTGATAGCATGGGTGGATCGAGTGAAGGAACTAAGTTCGCCCAGGCATTCGATGATTCAAGTGCACTGACCCTGTGGCGTTACGTTGATATTTTCTGGAAGATCAAGAAGTTTCTGAATATCGGAAAAGAAGCAACCTTAAAGAAGAACATCAAAGTGATCGACAACTTCATGTATAAGTTAATCCGCAGCAAGATTGAACAGAAGCAAAACTCAGATAATGATACATCTGTGAGTTAAAACGTTTTAGAGTTGGGATTAATTCTCTCTTTCTGATCCTGTAGGTATATCCAAGTTTATTTAACTTGTAATTAAATCTTAATATCATTGGTGGCATGGGGATGTTGCAGTTGAAGAAAGATGACATCTTGTCAAGGTTTCTGGAACTGAACGAGACAGATCCACAGTACTTGAGGGACATAATCCTCAATTTCTTAGTTGCAGGGAGGGACACAACAGCAACCACCCTGTCTTGGTTCCTCTACATGCTATGCAAGCATCCTCGCGTTCAAGAAAAGGTTGCACAGGAGGTGATGGAAGCAACCAGAGCGAAAGATGCATCCTCTTATGATGAGATAGCAGCCCATCTGAACGATGAAGCCCTCGACAAGATGCAGTATCTCCATGCAGCCCTCTCAGAGACTCTCAGACTCTATCCTGCCGTTGCAGTGGTAACTAAGAAGAAAAGAAATCATGCTTGCATTTACCATTATGGATTTACTCTGATTACAGTCCAGACCAACAAGTGTGTGGTGATGATATGTGCAGGATGCGAAAATTTGCTTCTCAGATGATACCTTGCCAGACGGATACAGCGTGAATAAAGGAGACATGGTCGTCTATCAACCTTATGCCATGGGCAGGATGAAATTCATTTGGGGTGAAGATGCCGAGGTTTTCCGGCCAGAAAGATGGCTCAACGAAGATGGTCTTTTCCGGCCAGAAAGCTCCTCGAAGTTCACAGCCTTCCAGGTGATATTTTAACACTCAATCAAGATCAGGATCAGGATCAGAATTGTGTGTACAAATTTCTGTTTTTATTTTTAACTTAAACTCAAAGTATTATTTGATGCATGGAGTGCAGGCGGGGCCAAGGATTTGTCTCGGGAAAGAATTTGCATACAGACAAATGAAAATATTTTCAGCTCTGCTGTTGAGTTGCTTCGTGTTCAAGCTGAGCGACGAGAACCAAGTCGTCCATTACAGAACTATGCTCAATCTTCACATTGATGGGGGGCTCTATCTTCGGGCTTTCCACAGGCTTAGACTGGGCTCCGAGAACCCAGAAAAAATTGCGTGAATATATCTAATATCTGTGTTTTCTTGTCCGCTATTGGTATTTGCTGTAATTTTATATAGATAATGTACGTCGGTGTGCATGTGAGTCGAAAAAGATTCAATAAGAAAACGATGTCATATACGACAGTCCAAGTATATCCCTCGAAATCCGTCCCAAATATATTGTTAGTGACACGTCGGGCCAATAATGTAACTGGTGGTCCCAGGTGACGCATAGAGGGTTGTAAAGTCCAACAATGCTTATCTCTATCTATTACAAACCTACTTGTTCTCGTGGAACTTTTGTAAGTTTGGTATTCAATTATATGTTTTATGACCTCCATCGGTCAATAGACCGGATATTCGTTTAGTCCGATCCACCCCACTATAAATACATTATAGAATCTAATGTTTGAATTAATCAATAGACCGGATATTCGTTTAGTCCGATCCACCCCACTATAAATACATTGTAGAATCTAATGTTTGAATTAATCTAATTATATATATATATAACAGAGACTCGTGTGATATACGGGTTTTGTTAAGTCAAAATTAAACAATAAAAATATATATAGGAGTATATAATTGTTTTATATTTTAATATTTTTTATGTTGCTCAATTCGAGGTAGTGCACGGAATGAGGAAGACGATCAGATAGTCCTTGTTGGTTGGGCGGGGCCGAGTTATAAGGACGAGGCCGCGTTTTAAGATTTGTGATCAAGGAAACAAAAGTCAGAGACTCGAGGATTTATCCCCGGGTAAGAACTTCGACGCTCAAGTTAGTAGGTTGCGGAAAGATGGTCGGGCCAAGCTATAAGGATGTCGGCCCGAGCAAAGTAGCTGTATAGGTCTCAGAAGTTCGATCTCTTACTTTGAGCATGTAGTACCTTTTTATAGCCAAAGATCTGTGTCCTGGTCGGATTGGGATAGAGTTCCATACCCAGGCGGAGTTGTCTTCCTTATTCCTATTTATCTGTGGTTGTGCTCATCCACGTGACGTGTAGTTGATGTGGTTGAAAGGAAAAGATGGGGGGCCACCACAATAGCGTAGCTCGGTCGGGCTACGCCAACGTGGCTGAGCTAGCCCACTGTGGTCGGGCTATGCCAACATGGCCGAGTTATGCCGACGTGGCCGACTTAGGAAGATGTGGCAGGGCGATAGTTGGGCGGCCACGTGTCTCGTAGGACCAGCTCAACCATGACCCGATCATCACTCTCCCAGTTCTGAAGTTGAGGAATGAAGTCTCCTAGGTTCATTGCCCGGTTAAGGAACTTTCGAGCATGTGCATCATTTGTGCCGTGTTGGTTGTTGTCGAGGAGTCCTCCGATCGTCGGCTGCAGAACTTAAACAAGAACCAAAATTTCGGTTCCCGAACCACTCCCCTAGTTCTGCTGTCGAGGAGGGGGAATGCTCGGCCTGACCATTGTGCAACCTAGCCGAGGATTTGCGTTGAAGGCTGGACTGATACGACGGATCTCTGCATCGAAGGTTGGATCGGTGCGGTAGTTGAACCGGCACAATTAATGGATGCAACTGTTGCCTGCCGAGGGTGTTGCTTCAATTTCCGAGGCTTTCTCATGCACGTTATTGGTTGCATCGGTTGAACTTCCAAGGCATTGTTAGGGTGCTTCATCTGTATCGTTGATCTCTCCTTGGTCCACACCCGTGATGGCTAAAAGGGAAAAGGGGTCCCCCCCTTTCCATCCTTAGTGTCACTTGCAAGAGTTTGGCATCCACTGCTCAGCAGATTCATCGGCCACATAGCTCGGTAGATAGCTCGGTAGACAGCTCGTCAAGTAGCTCGACAAGTAGCTCGACAGATAGCTCAGTAGCTTTCTCTCTTCGACACTGCAAATTGCCCGGTATGTCCTCATCTCGTCGGTCCTCTTCCTCGTCCGGGTCCTCTAGTAGTCTGGGTTCCAGCTCTTCTCACGGTTCGACCTACGAGCCTAAATTGAGAGACTTCGTGGCTGCCGAAATCGAGGAAGCCGAGGCTGGTCCCTCTGGGATGGAGACAAAGTTTCCTCTTCGGGCAGGTCGTCGGTTTGGTACCAGGCCCGACATCTTGACGGTCGGGCATATGGCTCGAATTTGAGCTATGTATGCCATTCCCGCGGAATACCAGGTGAGGTGTCCGCTGACCGGGGAGATGGCTACTGATGCTCAGCCCGGTGAGCTATGCGTTTATGAGCACAGCTTGGAGGCTGGGCTGAGGTTCCCATTGATCGAGGGGTTCGCTGAGGTGCTAAACTGGTACAGGATTTTGCTGGTACAGTTGATGTCGAACTCCTTTAGATTTTTACTCGGCCTCATGTCCTATTATGTAGTCAATGATATTGATCTGACCCTGGAGATGGTGAGCTTTATGTTCCAGTTGAAACACCACCAGCAGGGGTAGTACTACTTCTCCACCCGATGGAACATTCGGTCATTGGTCGGAGCCCCTTCTTCTGTAAAGCACTGGAAGAAGTCTTTCTTCTTTGTGAGAATCCCCAGGGGTCTCCCTTTTCCTGTCGAGTTGCGGCGACAGAGGACATCTTTACCTCAGCCCCAATGGTCAGCGCTTATTTGGGAGGAGAGGTCGACCGTAAGCATGATCCACGAAATCGACGTTCTCACGTACACATGCTCAGAGATGTTGATGTTTGCTGGGTTGATGGAGAGGGTGGCCGGTCTGTTTCCTTTTACTTCTGTTTGCCGATCTGACTTTATCTTGCCAACTTTGTACTTATCTTGGACCGTCTGTTTTGCAGGTGCGAGCATGGCTAGCGAGGAAGACATTGTTTGATGGATGAAGGCGCTCCGACAAAGGTAGGAATGAGCCAGAGTGCAACCGGAGGCTCATTTCGAGGCAGATGAGCGGTTATGACCCGAAGATAGGGCAGCCCATTGGCGAAGAAGGTTTCGACAATGAGAGGCCGAGGAGGACAATGTTGTCATGGTTGACCCTCAAGGGGTCTGTCGCCTTGTTGGTACACCCGTGACTGAGGTAGGAAGCAGTTTTGGTCTGCACTTTCCGAGGTGGTTGGTTCGCATGGATGACAATCTGGAGACTCCCGGGGTTCCTGAGCAATTGCTGCGGGGAATCATGACCATGTCTATAGCTCAGGAATAGGTTGGGGTTGGTAGTGGAGCTTTGGAGTGTGCTATGCTTTGGTCTACTGCACATGTAAATCCTCTTCCTTTTGTTCCTTGTGCGTTGCTCTCCTTTCCGATGTACTTATCATATTATATTTGTCTACAGAATGCTTGTGCGGTGGTTGATCGTCTTCAGGATGTTCAATCAACATACGAGTGGGAACATTCTGAGTATCTACAGCAAAAGGCCCAATTGGCCAAACTCCAGGCTGCTGGGGAGCGGTCGGCCACACTGGAGAGGGAAGTGGCCGAGCTAAAGGCGTAATTGGCTGAGCAGGCTGGTCTTGTCCGAGAGTTGAAGTGGGAGATTGCCGAGCTCAAGGCTGAATGGGACAAGCTAAGGCAGGAGGCCGCCGAGGAAGACATCACTGAGTACAAGGCGTCTGAGGAGATGCAGCTACACATGGATGAGTACATCGAAGCCTCCTTTGTGGCTGGGTTCAACCTTTTCTGACGAAGGATCCTTCACCGTCACCCGGAGTTGACCGAGGAGTCATAGGGCTAGGACGCTTTTGACCAAAATTCTCCGCAAGGGTCCACCGAGGGAGCTGAGGATGAGGTCGAAACCGCTGTTGACGCTGCTGATTCTGCCGCCGAGGACTAATCGGCGGCCTCATATGTTCATTATTCATGTTGTTTTGGTTTTGTGCTGCTTCTTTTTTTTTGTTGGCTCGGTGTGCCGAGCTTTAAACAATTATAATAGACCGTCTTTAAGTTGAATATCAGCTCCTCTTCATGTTGACTACATATATGCCTCTTGCTGTTGTTGCTGTGCATGTGCTTTTTTTTTAACCGAAGCATTCCCAGCCGGGCTATTACACGTGCTGAGCTGAGCTATGCCGTGACCTCTTGTTACTTGTACCATTTTTCTATTGCTGGCCTGGGTGAGGTCAGCTGGGGTATTGTGTGGGCCGAGTCGGGCTGTGCCTCAGACGTCCTCTTCATACTTTGCGCTTCTAGTACGTTAGCCGAGGTATAGTCGACTGAGGTATGGCTGACCGAGGAGTAGCCGGTCGGGCTATGCGTTGGCGTCCTCAATCTTGTGCTGACCGAGGTTGCATTGACCGTGGTGTAGCTGGCCTAGCCATGCCTTGGCGTCCCCAATCTTGTGTTGGCCGAGGTGTAGCTCGGCCGGGCTATGCCTTGGTGTTGTTTTCCGTTGTTGATCGAGGTGTCGCTAGACAAGGTGCAGCTCGGCTAGGCCATGCCTCGAAGTCGTTATCCTGTGCTGACCGTGGTGCAGCTCGGTCGGGCTATGCCTCGGTGTCATTTTCCGAGATCTTTTGGTTTCCGAGCTCTCAGCCATGGGATGCTCAGTTTCTAGTCTCGGGAGCCATTCGGCTTCTAAGGCTAACCGTTTCTTAGCTAGCTCAGCCGTTAAGTTGGCGGTAGTGAGGAGTTTCTCGACCGCCCTCAGGCCTTGGTGGGCGGTGGCGTTCTTCCTCCACGTTTAGGCTCAGCCGTTGGCAGCTGAGTTGGGTAGTTTGCTTGGTAATGTGCTGTCGAGCTGGGAGTAATAGGCTCAGCCGTTTCGGGGATTGGCAAAATCAGCTCGACTAACAGTGTGACTTAGCATGTGTGTGTAGTGTGTGCGGTTGGATGTAGGCACGCCTCTGGATCAAAGAATTAACGTAAGAGAAGACTTTCATTGCTTATGGGTCTACTGGTAGTACATCCTGAGGTTTCCCGAGTTCCAACTCCTCGGAATTGGTCGACCTTCGAGGTGACCGAGGTCGACCTTCTTGAGAAATAACCATGCCTCGGCGTCGTTATCCTGTGCTGACCGAGGTGCAGCTCGGCCGGGCTATGCCTCGGTGTCATTTTCCGAGATCTTTTGGTTTCTGATCTCTCAGCCATGGGACGCTCATTTTCTGGTCTCGGGAGCCTTTGGGGCCCTTCTAGGGCTAACCGTTTCTCAGCTAGCTCAGCCGTTAAGTCGGCGGTAGTGAGGAGTTTCTCGACCGCCCTCAGGCCTTGGTGGGTGGTGGCATTCTTCCTCCACGTTTAGGCTCAGCCGTTGGCAGTTGAGTCGGGTAGTTTGCTTGGTAATGTGCTGCCGAGCTGGGAGTAATTGGCTCAGTTGTTTCCCGAGTTCCAACTCCTCGGAATTGGTCGACCTTCGAGGTCTTCAAGTTTACAAGTGCTCGGTCCGAGGACTCTGGTGACCCTATACAGTCCTTTCCAGTACGGTTTGAGCTTCCCTTCTCCTGGCGTGGGTACAATGACT